GATATACACTTTTTGCATCTAAGAAGCCAGTGGCAGCAGTCTTGCACAAAACAAATAAATATCTTTTCATGTGTATAGTATAAACATGATCTGTTTTCATTGATGACTATATGCCGATAAATGAACAAGATCAGTACTATACATGAATAATTAAACTGAGAACAGACAGCGATAATTCAACATTCATCATTTTTTATCTTACAATCAACAATTTGTTCTTATTTCTGTTTTTCTTTTTCTTTGTCAAAAGAAGAGAAGTGAGATATGCCAGATGCAATATAACATACGGTTTTTCACATCGCATTAACTTAACAATTCTTTCAAACCATCAGATTTCTAAGTTCAAATTCGTTAGAAACTCGAATGTACAAGTTTAGACAAGAAAATATTTTCGTTGCAAAAATAGATTTCTCTCATTTGATAGCTAATGTATATACTGGTGTATTACGATAGCAACCTAATGAACAGCTTTCTATTAGATTTAAAGGTACTACATGTAGTTAATAAAACATGAGCAAAAGAAATGCATTTGTTCATTTAAAAATGACCTATGTGATGTCAAATCTATAAAACTGTAAAAAATTATTGACAAATGTTCATCTTATAGACATACATTATTTTATATTTATCATATGTCATACAAAAACTGTATGCACGACAATGGGAAAATGTGATTAAAAATGGAAAAACGTTTTCGATTCAACTTGATGACGATCATTTTTTTTTTCTCTCAGGCACGGGAAGAAACATTAGGAGTTTAATTCAATAATAAAAACAGGATGTAGAATTGTCATAAAAAAAGAGAAAAAAGGTCAAGCGTATTTGTATTATTAAATTTAACAAGAACAGAAGGAAAGAAAACTACTAAATTTCTTTTTAGATGCTTATCAATATGATCAGAATTGTACAGTCTAAATCCTTCTGTTGAGGTCACTCTTTCAAAATTATAGTGATGCAATATCAATTGGAATCAATCTTTATAGAAAAAAAATTCCTCTAAATTCTATTCTGCATTCACCACATAAAATCTCCTTACATATCACGAGCCCATAATAATTACATTCACTATGTGGAATCTTATCACATAAACGAAGTTTCTTTACACAACTATTGCACTTAACAGTGAACAACATATCATTCGTGTACTTTACGTTAATAGTTGTCCACTATTTAATTTCTTTTTTAGATGATATCAAACAAATACAGTTGACCTTAAAAAATTATTACACATTTTTTTCGATATTATTCAATTCAAACAAACATATTTGAGAGAAAACAAAGTGCAATCTAATGAACAAAACTATTACTTAAAAAAATAAGGTTCACATAAGACGGTAGTAACAAAAAACCGTAGCCTAGTCAGCATGGAACTAACAATAACATTCAATAACAAATTATCTAATTGTTATTCATAAACATGCCCTCCTATCTGACACAAACTAACAAAAAATCTTGAACAAGTTTGTTATTTACTATAAATGCTGAAAGTGCAAGAGACCGTGCACGATACTATTTTGTTAAAAATTTATGACTACACAATTCGTTTTGAGCAAATACTAATAGTCTCATGGATCACTTTAGAAATTAGTCTAAATAATTTTCTGTACAATTGAAAAATTTCAGATTAACTTAAAAATTGTGTATAATCCGTTTCTCTATAATATCCGATTAAAATTAAGTTATAAAAATCATGGGCAGAAATCAAACCAAATCGGCTCCTCCTCGCTACGTTTGGATATTTGTACTACAAAAGGAGAATTTCTTCGTTGCTTTATTGAAATGTATAGGGATTGATTTTAAGATCTTCTGTTACCCTTTTATTATTTTTCGTTCATTTCTCATTTTCTTTTTTGTTCATGCAACAAACATAGATTGATTTTATTTAAGACCGTTCTCATGTGACAGTCACAACTCGTCATTGTTTGAAATGATTCAGATACGATGAAAAAAGTTCTCACATTCAAACAAAATATTTTTTTCGACTATCATGTGTACAAATCGTCCGTATTTAGATAAATTCGACAAATATTGAGGTTATGATTTCCATGATGAAAATGAACAATAGCCAAATGTATGAATCCTAAAATACCAAGTATTGTTGAAATGCTTCATAGTATGCCAATTGTTCAAAAATATTCGTACTGTGCACAAATTATCATATAATAGCGATTTGGTAATTTTGGTGTTCATGAATACGACGATTAATAGAACTAAATGCAATCATCGTCCGACAGAGTCACTTCGCCCACTGATCCTGTAAACGATACAATGAGATCATAGTCGTAAAAGACGGCACTATAACCGAATATTTATTTATTATTCTATTTTTTTAACAAGATTAGAATTACTAAATATATTGCAGGTTTTTACGTTGGAGTCATTTTTTATCATTCCAAAATATTATAAGTTTTTGTTCCTTTTGCCTCTGTTGCTGCTGCTGCTGCTGTTCTGGCCTATGTATTAGCCATTGAGTATTACTCAATTTTGATTCTTTTACTCTATCTGACACTGTCTGTTCGTACCACTCATCAACAGTGCTTAGAACATTGATCAGATATGTGAACTTTGAAATTATTCTGTAATTGCCTGTTACACTTAAATATATGTCTAACAAACGCTTTTAGACTTTCTATCGTTATTGTATATGAGACCACAATGACATATAAATAATTTTTGCTTAGAACTTCGATTCTTCTTCCAAATTTTTGCATCAGATATCTCTTTTTATTGTATGTGCAATTTATTCATTATTCATCTTCTTTTGTCTAGAGTTATCCAATTTAATAATTATGTGCATGTCATACTGATTGTAGGTTCTTGAAGTGCTAAATACACATTGTATGATGACAACATAATGTATATATATATATGTGACTTTAGAAGGCGAAGAATTACATTCCATAATAACATCGCTGCATTCTAGACAAAAAAATATTATTTTTGCCTCTAATTACTTCATAAATAATGAAAATGAACAAAATTGCAATTAAAATTAAGTAGAAATAAGTATGTTACTGTTTCACTAGAAGTGCTTGGATAATGTTAGCTTAATAACTGATAATAATCAGCTTGGAGACTGATGAAGGATGAGTTTAATAATCTTCAAGCAAAATTCTGTCTTTTACTTTTAGATAAATAGTTATTTAAACGATTTATGACAGTCTAAGTAAAAACAAAAGAATATACTTCATGCGTAACAATTAAGAAAGTGACATATTTTAAAACACTGGCTTGTAACATTTCTTTTTCATGTTCATTTTTCTTTTTTTTTCTCTCAAATATCTGAATGAATGATTAATTTTTTACACATTAGACTATAGCATTTTCCTAAAAGCAAATACTTCTTAACACATTTCACATGTATATGAGGAACGATAATTCTTCATCTTATATCCATCAATGGTTACATTGTTTAAGTATTGAAGTTGACTTAGATTCTAAAATAGATGGAAAATTTTTCTTTACACCGTAATTAAAATATTATTATGGAGTAAATTTGTTTGTTTAAAGTAATCTGCTTTCTCGTTTTGAGATTTGGAAAAGTGCTTCAAAGATCATCAAACGTCTTATTCTTCTCTTCATAAGAACATAAAAATATTTTTTAATTATGATGTACTCTTGAGCAATGAGTTGCACAATGTCGATTGATATCTATAATCGAGGCTATAAATCAAATATCGTTAGAGTTTAAGTTCAATTAGCAACAGATATCTTTTATCAGTGATCATACATATCAAAGTATGTGTTGTTAAATCAATTTTTGTATGCGGTGACAAATCACGTTTTCGTAACTATAGTTGTAATTTTATGAAAAAAAACAATTTACATGTTTTATTGCTTTAGCTTTTGAAATTTCTTTTCTCTTTTATTTTGATTGAATATGTTGTCATCATATAAACAGAAGTGTTTGCGCAAATAGAAACGATTTGTGAGCACTCGTTAAAAAAAATGATGGACGGTAATAGAATAATTGAATGCTATCAGAAGCCATTACAAATCCTTTGATCTGAAAAAATCTCATTTAATCGATTTGTAATAAACATCAAAGTTTTTGATAATTGGGTGAGAATATATGTTCAATGTTTGACTTTTTTTTTCTATTTGTTATTTTTGTAAAAGATGAGGCAGTTCAAGGATAAATATTATATTCCAAGTTGAAAAGACGAATTTAGTATATTTATTCAGTACATTATATCAGTATACAGAATTCATCACGGTTACGGGCAGAATGAACTGCGCGCAACTTACAGGACACATGCTTACAGAACTTACAAAATAGAAAAATAAAACTCTTTACAGACTCCACTATGCCGGGCTGATATGAGACACTCAGTATGGGAGGGAGTGGTAGTCAAAATATTTTTAACGATTTTCCCTAAAAATTAAACTGCTTTCTACCAAAAAAAATTTTGGATGGACTCAAAACTTTTCGCAGCGCGAGCTTTTTTTCCACATTATTTTTGGATTTGGCTAGTGAAAAAAATTATTTTCATTATTGGGAGGGAGGAGGTTACCTCCCGTATGGCCGCTAAAACCAACCCTGCCACTATGTTCTGAATAAAAAATTTCTACACAAAATTTTGCTCGTATAACTGAACCGACGAGAGATCTATTTTTTTAACATGGAATACATATGTTAATTTCATCATTTTTAAACAAACTAGTCGTTGTATAAAATTAGACGAAAATAAATATTCAGAGTACTAATGGTGGCGAGGTATCGGAAAACGTTCATGCCCAAATTTGCGAACGTTTGTGTTATATTAATAGAATAAATTCATGAAAGATCATATATTCGATTTATGTACGTTAATCAAACTTTATTGTTGTAGGAAACTGCTCTGCTATATATATTTTAACTGACTAATGCCATACATAAATAAAACAACAATTACCATCAACACATTTGTTTTCTTACACGCAGACACACAAGATAGATTAACAATCAATGATACTGTTTCTCAAACGAATAAAATAACAAAAATAAAATAAAACTGTATTTATATTTCCATTTTTACTTCATGATTGCCATTTCCATTCCCATTATTTGAGTTATTATTTCCCGGTGGAGTATCACCGTTCGTCGTGGACGTATCTTCACATCGCCAAAGACCATACGTACGACCAACAGTATTTTGCCATAAACGAACTGTTCCATCTTCTGATCCACTGGCATATAATTCACCGTCGGGAGAATAAGCCATACAATGAATAGCACCAAAATGTCCTTTATAGGATTCTATAAAATGAACAAATTTAATTTAATATAAAATGTTAGCTAGTACTTTATGCTTTTATATACCCAATAAATCTCCAGTTTCATAATTATATTTATAAATTAACAGATCTTCACCGCCACAAACAAATTCCTTCGATGATGGATGGAACGATGCGGCATTGACTCTACATGGCATTTCAAAAGATTGACGTTTTTGTAGGCTAAATTAGACATGCAATAATGATTGTATATGAACATTGCAATAATTTTATAGTATAAAACGAATACTCAATGATGTAAAAGAGGTTACTTGCCAACTAATTTATACTTTAAGAAAATGGTGATAATTTTAATAATTTTCACAACGTTTATCTTAACTATTAACATACCTATTTCCATCGTAGATTTCAACATTTTTGCCTTGTGTTAAAATTAAATTTGATTGTCCGTCGCGTGAAACTTCAAGACTGTTCGGGGATGTTGTAAAATTAATTGTTGATAAACATTCACCACTGTCAATATCCCATATTCTAAATATACATATAATAGACTTACATATCTTAATTTAATTTTTACATAAATGTACACATACTTGACAGTTTTATCTTCTGATGCACTAACAATTCGTTTTGTATCCATATAAATAGCTCGTCGAACAGCGGCATCATGTCCAGTAAATATTTTTAACGGTTCAGTTGGTACATTAATATCAAATATTTTCAGTAATTTTTCATTTGATGCTGTTAATAATGATTTATTATCTTTCGAAAAATCAACAGATCGAACAATATGATTATGTGGATATGTTTGTAATTCTTGTCCAGTTAGAGCATCAAATAATTTTGCAGTAAAGTCTGCAGATGCTGTTGCTGCAAATTCAGCATTACCAGTTAATGTAGCACTCCAAACAGCACTTCTGTGTCCAATAAATGATCCAATCCAATCGCCCGTATCACCTTCACGAAGCATTGGACGTCCATCTAAATATAATATTCAATAGAATTATTAACTAATGAAAAAATTAGAAAATTAATTTTTTTACCTTTACAAGCACTAATGAGAAAATAACTGTATGGCGTTATATCACCTATTTAAAATAAAAAATAAAAATAAAAATTGATATTTTTCTTTCTATTTTTTTTTGGTATATACTTACTAAATCGAAGATCGGTTATGGGCCGTGTATGACCACAACAACTAACTGGTACTTGACGTAAGGAAGACGACGATAAAGACATTTGACTTATTGAACATACGCACCAAAAGAAAAATATATTGTAATTAATAAAAACAACGACAGTACAGTGATTTTATTGATAATGTACACAATAAATAAATTAATAACAAATTAAAGTGTTAACAGTAAATTATTTTCATAACCTATAAAATAAAATTTATGATAAAAATGAGAATAATTCTGTTATAAAAATTACATACACATTATTTTAATAATCTTAGAAGAAAAAATCATTTTTAAATTGGTGGTAATTCATCTAAAATATGTAAATATACAATAAAATATGATAAAATTCAAGAGTTATGTAAAATAACGTTAACAATGATAAAAGATAAATTGTATTTTTAGTAGACAATGTTAAAGATTTATATATACATATGTTTTTATATTCATACGTTAATTTAAAATAACAAAAAAACAAAAAATAAATAAATAAAGATATAATCTACTGATAAATTGCGAGAAGCAAAAACAAAATGTTCCGGGACTGCATAACATCAAACAAAAAAATTACTAATAAAGATGGCAAGAATATATTCCACAAAAAATATTGAATTAGATTCACAAACTGTAACGGGAATAGGATACAATTTATTGATTTGTCTAATTAAAGACAAAACAAAGAATAAAACCTTTACTATTTAAGAGCTGATGGATGATGCATCACCATAGAACATAAACATAGAGTTTGCACCCGATTAAAAAGAGAAACAAACATTTAACTTCTCTGATCACGTAAAAATAAGATAGAAAAAAGAACAACTGTTGCTTTCGCGAAGCAAGTTCTCGAAATAAATTATGAATATAGAATTCTCACAATATGTTTTAAAAAAAAACGATCTGGCACGATAATAGACAACGCATTGTAAAAATAAATCATCTTTTAAACTAAGCTCACTCTTTCACTCATCAAAATCTGATTTTTCGTGTTTCTTCGTGTGAGTAGAAAAATGTGTAAGTCAAAAATTCTAATTAAATATAGTGTCAGTCGAGAAATTTGTTATCTAATTTTATCTAATCTGAATAAATGTGTCCGAATATTTGTTCGAAAATCGAAGATATTTAGACAAGTATTTATCAGTTATAAATCAGTAGGATAGACGAATAATCCTTCAAAATCATTTTAATACTATACTGTCTCGAAATGACTTTACTAGAACAATAATTGGTGATCAAAGTTGTACATGTTTTTTTTTTATACAAAAACAAACAATTTTGTTTTTTCATCTTCTATTCTACCCGAATTTTTTTGTAAAATATATGTATGCATGCACATATTTAAACAAGAGAAATGCTCTTAAAACACAAAACAAATCAATAAATAATAATAATTACATATAGGAAGAAAACATATGTCGTCTTATATTAGTAGTAACTATCAATAAATTATGATTAATAAAATAGAAAGTTCATTTTTGTCTTTTTTCAATAAATAACACACTACATACAATAGACAGACAACGGATAGAGCCGTATTGGACAACGAGCAAATAAGAAACAAGTAAAACACAACCTATCTGTTGAACAAGTCACTGATTAAGAAAAAAAAAAAAATTTGTCATGAGAAACAAAAAATATGTGGATATGCGTGTGTTTGTCGTCAGATTTGTGAAAAAGAGAGACAACAGAGTACTAACAGACTAATTTCTGTTGTATAATTTCAATGTCTTCTTTAGTAATGGTGTTTTAGCGGGTTCTAAAATGAGAAAAAGAATCAAATTTGTTTATGCGAAAAAAAAGAGAGAGTAAATTATTTAAGATAAAAAAAACAAAAAACAATAAAAATTTGTTGACATACTTCTTTTCGTCGTCATTCGTTCATTACGCATATTTGATGGAGCTGCTATACACATGCGAATATTATTGATCGCTTGTGATTGACTTCCACCACCATTTGTCACTGATTGATGATGTCGAATTTTTCTGGCATATTCGTTTGAAAGTTTTTTGGGATCAGCCATCTTTGTTTTACGAGCTGTATCATCTTGGTGAGCAAATTTTTGAGCTAATTTTGATTTTACTTCTTGAAATAGATCTTCTTTTTCATCATGTTTACGCTATAATAAAATTTGTCATTTAATAAAGATTCTAGAAGGTTTAGAGAAAATGAAAACTATTTATACCCAATATAATTCAAAATATGATTCATTTTCATCTGGTTCTGAACTTTTGAAATCTATTTGACAAAATCGTTTCCATAACGGTTCAATATCATCAGCATAATTCTAAAAATAAATTGAAAAATGTATATATTATGATAAATTGTTTTTAATTTTCAAGAATAATACCTGATTATTATAAACAATATTTTTCAATTGTTCTGGTGTGGCTAATTCAATAATCGGCTGTAATAATTCATATGGTAACAAATTAAAATGACGAGAAGAAATAACTAGAATAAAGTTAACGTTCTAATTGAAAAATGCTTAGTAGAATATAAGAAATAGGCTTTCATTTACCATCAATATGTTCTTTTAATGTATCAAGACATAAACTTTCAAGTTTTGGTATATGATCACGTATTGTCTTTTTTCCTGAATACATTTGAGTTCGTTCACGACGAGATGATAAACACTGCAATGATGTGTTATCGACTAAAGATAAATACAACTAATGAAAAATTGGAATATAATTTGATTATTTTTACTTACTAACAGACGATTTTTTCAATGTAGATTGAGAAGATGAAGCTGTAAGTTGTGATGGACGAGGAGGTGGAGGTAGACTAGTTCGAACAGTAGTCGATATTGTCTGTTGATGTTTTAAATGTTCAGATTGTTTGTCTGATGTCGATAACGATTTAGTTTGTTCTTGAGATTTTTCTGGTACATTTTTTGTTGAAGACTGTATGGACTTTTTCGGAGATAATTTTGTTTTTGTTACTATTGATCCTTTTTTAGGTTGAATAGTTGTCTATTTTAATAAAATTTAGAGAAAAAAAGATACATATTTACTTCTCATTAATTGTACTAATCGAACATCCATTCGATCATTACATTTCTCAATTTACTAGTGGACTATCTTCTTCTTTAAAAGCTGATTAAAAGACGTGTTTACCTTTGTTTTGCTTGAGACCGACGATGTTGGAAGTGATTGTTTCTTTTTTCTCTGCACCGGATCATTACCATCGTTATTTATTTTTGATACTGTTGTTTGTTTCTGTTTCACTACTGTTTCCTCTTCGTCATCATCAGATGCTTCTTCCCATAAACCTTTCAATTTCTTATCACTATTTCCATTTTGTTGTGACTCCAAATTAGATTTTGTAAATCCTTTTATTGATGATAGTGATTGTTTTTTTTCATTATTATTATCATCTCGTATGTTATCTAATTTTGGTGCATTAGCAGCAAGAAGATTAGTAGTTTTATTAAATGAATCACGTAATTCTTCAATTTCAGTCTCAGTCAAATTAGTATTATTAGATTGATTGCCATTCATTAATTCAGTAGTAAGTTTTTCGTTGTTTTGTGAATCAGAATCTAATGATGCTATTAGTACGTTCGATGAACGTTTACTAAAGTATTCATTCATGGATAAAACTTTTCGTTTTTTATTTGCTGTTGAACAATCATCGGACAAGTGGGGCTCACTTAAAAAATAAATAAAGGAAAAACTCGCATATTAAGAAGAAAGACTATTTTTTAGTAAAATCATTCAATTAGTTCGATAACATTACATACATCTAAACTCGAGTATAGTGCTTTATATAAACTAAAGCAATGGATTATAGAGAAAACGATATCCTCGAGTACTCTCATCTCATCAAGAGTCACAGATTGGCAAGTTCAAGTCCGGACTGATAAGACTTTTTCTCACGGATGGGGACTGGACTGGGAACTGATTATTTGACGTGACTGATTTTTCAGATCAGTCCTTCAACTTTTGGAATGAGAAAAATCTTTGATATAAACATGTAAAGAAACAGTATCATTTCTGTAAAAAGATACAAGACAAAATATGTAATCATAGAAGCGAATGGGAAAAAAATGTCTAGATCGGACTAAGACTTTGTTTTTTAGGACTAAGACTGGACTGACGAGGGAACATATGTAACTGACCAATCGTTTTTTTAATGAAATCTAGTGGAGTATAGGTAAAAAATAGTGCTGAATCCGAATATCGGCATGAGACGGACCGCTAGGCCTTGCGAGCACCGGATTTCTGGGAAATGAGGTTTCCAGAGCCACAAACTTTTTGTTCCAAAACTTTTTTCTGATCTGTCTCGATTGTAGAGTAGATCGAGAAACCTGTAAAAAACTAGTTTTGGAGTTTTTTAAAGTGTTTTTGCTCCCTCAAAAAACCTCAGCGTACGGAAAAGAGAAGAAAAGCCCGTCTGACGGGCTGTGGAAGGGTTCCAAAATTCTGAAAACTAGTTTTTTATAGGTTTCTCGATGTGCTCTACAATCGAGACAGATCAGAAAAAAGTTTTTGGCTTTGGAAACCTGGTTTCCCAGAAATCCGGTACTTGCAAGGCCTAGCGGCCCGTCTCATGCAGATATTCCGATTCAGCACTATTTTTTACCTATACTCCACTAGATTTCATTAAAAAAACGATTGGTCAGTTACATATGTTCCCTCGTGAGAGTAGGTATGCACCGCGGTATCGGGATTCATACCGAAATACCGATACTGAAAATAGCGACTTTTTTCGATTTGGACTCTTTTGGATTTTTTCATCTGAAATGAGACAGTTTAGCATCATGGACAGTCAGAACACAAAAGACAACGGTATACCGATACTGGTGTATACCTAACTGAGACTGAAAAAGTCGTGACTTGCCCACCTCTCGCAAGATTCAATTCATTAGAGTTTAGAATATATATATCCTTATTTGTGATGGAGTCATAATCCCGTGTATCGGACAATAATTTCTTGTGATTTTGGATGATTCGTTACCCGATGAAAAAACTGTTCAGCATTACTCACTATATTTATTTCATCCGTGTACCTAGGAATTAAGGCGTATTCTAAACCTTTGGCTAAACATTCAATCTCATCGTCCATCAGTGATCTACTAGATAGATTTGTAATTACGCGTTGATTAACACTTGAACTGTTATTTTTTTTTATTAGATTTACATGAGTCAAATTTCTTTTGTGGACTAGATAGTTTCTCATTCACTATACCACAATACTCGTAACAGAGCGAAATATCACAAACTAGGCATCTAGCAAAAATGGAGAAAATCTCTGCTCGCACATGCATGACGTATATCTTGATAGATATTCTTTTTCTCTTTCGCTATGTGAAAAAAGGGGAAAAGTCAGTGAGTGTAGCGTTGTTCTCATTCACCATTTTATTCTTTCAACACTTTTAAACATACAGTGGAGCAATTGATAAAACAACCTATAAATATGGTTATGGTATGACTCGTTTTCGATTCAGATAAGTCTTGGGCTTCGGATTATTGTCCTTACCTGTTAAAGACAATTAGTTTCTAAATTCAAGCTGCATTGTTTAGTTGTCAACAATCATTTTTAATTTTTACAGAAGAGATCCAACATTGGATTGCAGAATACAGAGACTAGGATTGTTCCAAAAGTATATGTATCAGAATACATAAATATGTCTGTTCTTTCTTTTTGTCGTATCTAAGCATATTCATATCCTTTTTTCTTTCTGTGTCGTGTCTAAGCATATCTCTCTTTTGTATGATGTTTTTAAACAAAATAACGGACATTTAAAAATGCATAATACCTATTGCAGGTATAAAATAAGTTGACTTTTTCACCAAGACTAGTGTGATGCAAATTTTTCTACCAGGTTGAGAGTAGAAACTTGATTTTATTTTACGCTACTAAACGATATGTTTGTTTGTGACTAAAGATATCTGTAAAACAAAGCAGATGGATAGATATGCCTAGATACGACATAGACAAAGAACAGAAGGATACGGATGTGCTTAGATACGACTAAAAGAAACAATAGGCATATTTATGTATTCTAACAGATATACTTTTTGAGTGATCATTTTACACTCTGCAGCGTTCACAATAGACGAGAGGCCGTCGCCTTTTTTCTTCCTCGTTCTTTTACGTCTCATGTATGGCAATGTTTGCACATGCATATCTTGTACTAAAAGAGATATCTCTGTTTTGTCTATTATAAGAAAAGATCTTGAAAAGCTTGTTGCTATTTCAAAGACAAAGATTATCGAGATATGCCATTTGTACAGGGGCTTATAGTTCACTTGGAAGTGATACTCCACGTGCTTTTTTTCTTTCCTTTCATCAGTCTTTTTTAATATATTACAGCGCCTCCACTGGTCGACGTTCTTGTGGGTATTCTTGCAAGATTCTTGTCTCTTGCCATTTCAGACAAGAATCCTCAATTTTGTCTTGATAAATCAGACATGATTCTTCTTTTAATTCTTTACTGATTTTTCATCTTTTTTTGTTAAAGATTCTTGTCTGAAGTGGCAAGATTTGTTGACGACAAAAAAAAATTTGTTTTGTCGATTCCCCTGCTATATATAAGCTACATAATATAGCTCAATACTATACATATAGATGTCTTTAGAAAGTCTATTAAATCGCATAAGATTCTTGTCAATAGACAATCGAGTCTTTACATGTGCCTGTATTGGCATCAGAGCGTCCAGCTCCTATATATATGAAAAGAAAAAGAAAAGAAGACGGAAAATGGATTATATATGCATTCTATTTATTTGCAGAATTCTTTTAAGAATTACAAGACAAGATTCTTGCAAGAAATCGCTTTCTTGTGCATTCAGACAAGAATCCGTCTCGCGACTCTTGTATGAACTGACAAGAAAGCGATTTCCTGCAGGATTCTTGTGATAAAAATACATGTAAAATATTTTACAAGATACTTGTCTGAAATGCCAAGAAACAAGAATCTTGCAAGAATACCTACAAGAACGTTGACCAGTGTCTTGTAAACATGAAAAGAAATAAGACGAGCATGTTTATTAAACGTGACTAGTAGTAGTGTTTCTTTCTCTCTATTATTCAGAGACATTTATTCTTTCCTTTTCCATCGTCATGATACCCAAATGCATACGCTAATATTTTTGTTTTCTCTTACATCATGTACAATTTGAATCTGAGTGGATAAAGTAAGCATCTCCATCATGATATATATTACAATAATAAAAAAAATAACATTTTTATTATATGTTTTTGATATCGTATTAACTTTTTTTAATACGGTTTTTATCTGTCTTCTTCTCGTTTCTAATGAACTTACATAAGATTCCCTTCGATAAAACGCTACACTGTAAAGTAGAAAATTAGTTAAAGAAAAAAACATTGATTTTCTACGAGTGTTTGTATGCATTCGTTGGCGATTTTTCTTCTTTTAGAAAATCAGATTTTCTATAATTTAGATATTCGTCGCTCATTTTTCAAAATATATAGACGTATTTTCTAAAAAGTCAAACGATTTCCCATAAAATGCACGTAACGTGGATAGCAGTCCTTTCGCGTTTCCCTTCCTCTCTTACATTTTCCATTTTATTTCTCTCTTGCAATCGTTAGAAAATATATCATTTTTCACATTCTTTGACCTCAATCATTGACAATCGATTTCAATTGGTCGATTTTGGAGCTGTTTTCGAAAACACTTATGCATTTTCTGTCAAATGTTGATTGATTTCTTCATTGATTTCTATAAAATGGTTAGAAAATCTTTCAATTCGAATAGAAAATCACAAATTTTTCAAAAATCAATAGAGACTTTTGTCATTACATAAAATCCACATCGATTTTTTTATCTAGAAATTCAAGATGATTTTCTACTTTCTAGAAAATGCTGATGTTCTCCTTCGGTATAATATACGTGACGATATTATAATTGCTTTAAAATTACCCATGATTTTCTATAGAGTAGAAAATATTTTTTTACAGTATAGAGGTTTCACTCTTAAAATAAATGAGTTTGATACACATCGCGTAACTAGGTATGCACAGGGTCGAACTACCCGAAGTTCGAGCTATTCGAAAATTGAAGTCTGTTTTTTTTCCGATGACTGTTATTCTCAGGCCTCCACATGAAAGAAGATCCCACACTTTTATTCTATTTTGCATGTTAACTTTATTTCACACTTTACGCAAGTAATCTGAACTCTTACGTCGCTTGAGTATTTTGCCATAAGAAAAATTTCATTTTACACTTACGAGGGCACCTCTTGAGGTTATAAATCGCTTTTGAACTCGAACTACTTGTATCTTGTAGACCTCAGTGAGTAGTGAAATACCCTAAGTTGGTTCATCCCCATGGTGCTTTGTTGCTGAGATATTGAATTTTTAGTCAGTTTTTGCCTATAGAGCTTGGATTTCGAGCA